TTGGTTGAAGAAGGGTCTGCACTTATCTGAGCTTCTGCTGATGAATCTGTTTAGGGCTGCGGCCCTTCCAGTAAGCATCTGAACCTGTTTTGCCGACGCCGGGCTTTTCAGCTCTAGGATGGCCTTGATTTGATCTAGGCTGGCCTCAATGCCTTTTCTTGTTACCAGGTACCCCAAAAACTTACCTGATCCAACTCCAAACGCGCACTTCTAATTCCCCATTTTTTTATGAGATACCGAACACCGTAATATGCACATAGGAGGAGACCATGAGAGAGAATTGTTATAGGGCTTCATCTGATCCACATTCAGTTTTGGGTTGGGGGGCATTACATAAAACCCAAGATATTTTGAAAACCTTTGGTAAGTTGCTCCTGCGTTTTTCAACCCAAAGGGCATTACCTTGTAACAGTACAGCCCTTTTGGGGTGATAAACGCTGTCTTCTCTTCGTCTGGAGGGTACATGGCTATCTGGTGGTACCCCCTGTAGGCATCTAGAAAACTCATTCTTCCATGCCCTGAAATAGCATCTACTAGCTGGTCAATCTTGGGCAGAGGAAAGCTGTCTTTGGGGCAGGCTTTGTTAAGGCTAGTGAAGTCTACACAGACCCTCCATTTACCGTTCTTCTTCTTTACCACTACTGTGTTAGATAGCCATGTCGGGTAGTAAACTTCTCGGATGGCCCTGGCCTCCAGAAGTCTGTCTACTTCTTCATCTACTGCTTCGACGTGCATCAGCATCGGTCTTCTGGCTTGTTGAATTACAGGTTTTGCCGACCTATCGACATTCAGTTTGTGGCAAGTGACTTCGGGGTCAATTCTAGGCATTTCGTAGGGCGTCCAGACGAACACCTCTATGTTTGCTCTCAGAAAAGTTTCCAGTTCTCTTTCTTCTTCTTCGGCTCAGCCTGAGCCGACAAGAAAGAAGTGTTCTTCATCATCCTCCTGGACGAGGACTTTCTTTAGTGCCTCTTCGCTCTTCTCGGCCGGCTCCTTGCCGACGTCTTCTAGGACTTCTACATCCTCATCTTCAATTTCTGCTTTTTCTGGCTTTCGAATGTTGCAGGTGGATTTCATTGCTGCCATGGAGTAATTTTTTGCCTGCAGTTGATCTCCTCTGACTTCTTCAATCCCATGCTCTGTTGGGAACCGCAGTAGTTGATGCAGCGTTGAGGGTACTGCCCCCATTGCATGTAACCATGGTCTTCCCAAGATGATGTTGTATGGTGAGGGCGTGTCAATCACCATGAATTCTGTGTTGATCTTCCTAGTGCCGTCTTATACTTCCACGCTTGTTGCGCCTAGGGGCCACGTCGGCGTTCCATTAAAACCGACCATCGGGCCATTGGATTGCTCCAAGTCATCAGGATGAAGGCCCAGCTCCTTGTAACATCTAACATACATGATGTCGCAAGAGCTGCCTTGATCAATCAGGATGCGTTTCACTTGGCACTCCCCAACCTGGAGGGATACTACCAAGGCATCATTATGTGGTTGCTGGACCATCTCCAGGTCGGCTTCTGTAAAGGCTATCGTTGGTCCCTGGCATTCTTCAGGCCGAGGTCTTTTATGCCCAACCTGGTTCACTTGCTGTAGGTGTCTTACCTTCTAAGTTTCCCCTCATATGTCATTTTCATTCACCTTTGAGTGGATTACATTAACCACCCGTGGTCCTCCTGCCTGTGGTTGCTGTGTTGGGGGAGGCAGAGCTGCTGGTGCTTGAGGCAATCTTGCCTGTTCTTCCCTTGTCCTGGCTTCATCGACAAGGTCCCTCAGAAGGCCTTGCCTTACCAAGTCTTCTAAGTGTGCTTTTAAGGCTCTGTAACCCTGAGTTGGGTGCCCTTCTTCATTGTGGTAAGCACAGCGCCTACCAACGTTTCTTCCCATAAATTCCTCCGGTGCTCTTGCCGGTGCCCTGAAATAGGGTTGGTTTCGTATTTGATCCAGGACTTTGTGGATAGGGATTCGAAACACTGTCGTCACTGCCTGTTTAGCCCTCAATTCCGTTTCTTGTTTGTTTGATCCATTGTTACCTCGGCCTCGCTTCGGCGAGCCGTTTTCTTTCTACTGCTTTGTTTCTTTATTTCCCAACGTATCCTCCTCGGCTCTGGTGTACTTCTCGATCCTCGCCATGAGTTCTTCCATGCTTTTTGGCAATGTCTTTGCCAAAGACTTCCGAAGTGGGCAGTTATCTTTCAGGCCGTTCTTGAAAGACACGACCGCCACCTCTTGGTTGTATTCAGGTATTCGATTAAACACCTCGTAGTACCTTTTTGCGTAGGCCCTAAGGCCTTCGTCCTTGGTGATTTTTAAAGCCATTAGTGCGTCGACCCTTAAGGGCTGTAGTTTGTTCGTTACGAACCTGGCCACAAACATCTTGACCAGGCCTTCCCAAGTCTTTACGCTTCCCTTCGGTAGTTTATGGAACCAATCTGATACAATCTCCCCAAAGGATGAGGGAAATACTTTGCAGAGCAACGGCTCGTTCCTACTATATAATGCCATTGAATTCAGGTATAGTCCGACGTGAAAGTTGGGATCTGACTTACCATCATATATTTGGAACCTCAGCATACTGAATCTCTTTGGTTCTTCAAATTTGTCCAATTTTACCGAGAATGGTGTCCTCGGCTTAACCGGAATCTCCCCAAAGGATGAGGGAAATACTTTGCAGAGCAACGGCTCGTTCCTACTATATAATGCCATTGAATTCAGGTATAGTCCGACGTGAAAGTTGGGATCTGACTTACCATCATATATTTGGAACCTCAGCATACTGAATCTCTTTGGTGCTTCAAATTTGTCCAATTCTACCGAGAATGGTGTCCTCGGCTTAACCGGGGAAGCTACCTCGGCTTCAGCATTCTGTTGCTTCCTCTTGAGGTAATCTCTCAAGTCTTCTTTACTCCTCCCTGGTGCTCGGCTACCTTTGGACTTTAATCTTTTCGGCACACTACTTTCGGCCTCGTGGTGGGCCCGTTTTGATCTTTCTCCATGAGTTGTGTCAAAATTTAGCACCTGCCCTTGAACATGTCGATGTTCTTTGGGCTCTGGGTCCTTCGTGTGATGCGTCATTCGGGACTCTTCTCGTCTCGGCTCCTCTCGTCCGACTTCCCTGGAAGGCCGGTGAGAGTGCCTTCCGCTCCTGGTGTGCTGAGGGGCTTCGGGGATTGTCTTCCTTCCTCCCTTCTGGGTATTAGCTACTGGAATCGGCGTGTCCTGCAGCGGGTATGGTGGTTGCATGACATTGTTCTGCATCATGAAGTTGACGACCGACTGTAGGTCTGCCAACTTGTCTGCCAATTCTTTTACTTCTTCATCCCTCCGTAGGCATCTATCCCTCCATACCTGGAGGTTATCTTCGTTATAGTACTTGTCTTGGTCTGTTTTCTTCGAAGTGTCACCCTCTTGGCCGACGTCTTTCCCTCCGTGGCCCTGGTCACGAGTTTCTGCATTGTGGTTGTCTCCTTCGATATCAAGGTCGATCGGTCTGCTACTTCCAGCAGGAGCGTCGTCCCCAATCTTTTCCTTCTGTCCGTTACTGGCCATCTATTCTTCTTCTTTCCCACAGACGGCGCCAAATTGTGTGAGTGATTTTCTGACCGCACTGCCCGTTTAGTAATCAGCTAGAGAGCACCAGCAGAATAGATGGCTTCAGTTAACCTGTAACAAAAAAAAAAGGCTCCGATGGTAGCTCTTCCACCCGGGGGCACTCCGACGATCAAGTCAGTATATCTCTCAAAGATAATCAAGTGTTAAACTTACTGTTCAAAGCATAAATTGCGTGCCTTAGACTCACGAGGGTGCCTCTCTTTTATAGTTTACTTAATCGTCGTCTCACTAGAAGCCTGACTTCTATGGACTCCAATTCAATACTGACTTTGGACTCTTCAAGAGATAAGGATAAACTCCCAAAGAGCTTTATCCATATCTTGATTAAATCTCTTTTTCATTCTAGGACTCTTGTCTCTTATCCGTTTATCTCGGATTCCGACATCTTCGGAGATAACCTCGGCAACGCCGAAATCACCTCGGTATAATGACCAGGACACGTGGCACCTCGGCTGACACATCGGTGTCACCTTGCCACGTGTTGGTACTCAGAAAATATATCCCCACACCTAAAATATGATATTATTTTTCCTTTCACCTAAATGAGAGAGAACCAATTTTTTTCCCCCTTGTCTCATTTATATCATTTGTTTCGATAGAAAACTTTTTCTAAAAAATATTTTCAGCATTTTTTTGGCATTTAGTACCCTAAAACAATCGTGAATAGAAAACAAGTTTATTTGAGCGATTTTTTTTTTTTTTCTTTCAATTTCAAATGTGAAAAATGATTTCCAAAATAAAATTTTATTAATATCACCACACTTCCACTTTCACTACTGCCACCACCACCTTCACCATCCCAATGCCACCATCACTACCCCACTCAACCATCACCACTAGCACATTAATTTTTAAAGTCGCAACCAAATATATGAAAACTTTATCTACGAAAATATGATAACCTTATCTACGAATATGTTTTTTGTTGAAATAAATAGAATGGTAATTTACCATATTTTTAACTTGCTTAATATATGAATGGACTGTAAAATTTGAAATATGTTGATTCTAAAATTCCAAGTTCATGTATCCAAAATGGTTGTGTTTTGGATGTTGGATTTGAGGAGTGATTTGTGAATGGAAAAAGAAAAGAGAAAAATGAATTGTTTTCGTTTTTCCTTTTCCTTCAAAAATTCACTTCAAATGCTAGATCCAAACAGAGCCAAATCCTTTCACAGGAAAAGAATGTGAATCTTTGTAAAGTAACCATCTTATAATTCAAATATGCTTGCAAATGCTTCATTTAAGTTTTGTGTAACAATGATTCTTAGCAGTAAACTTGAACCATAATGGATTGACATTGCTGTTCTATATCATTTTTTTTTTCTTTCTTTCTTTCTTTTTCTTTTTTTTTTTTTTTTTTTTTTTTTTTTTTTTTTTTTTTTTTTTTTTTTTTTTTTTTTTTTTTTTGGCCTTTGAACAAAAAAAAGGTAATTTTCAGGAGTTATGCAACGGAAAAATATCATGTTCAAACTCAGTTCCAAAGAAACATCTACTGGAACAGTTTGGGATCACAAGGGTAAAACAGAGCTTCTACAGATTTTAATTTCGCACGGTGATGGTGTTATTCATGGCTTGCAATTCGTTTATGTTGAGAACGGAAATTTGGTTGCGTCTGAGTGCCTTGGCGGTAGTGACCATGGAAGAAAATTCAACACGGTAATTGTCTCAAAGGCGGTATTGTAATCTTGGGATCACATATGAAAATTTTTTCATTTTTATGCATTTAAACTTGTTCATCATATTAGTATTTAGTATATTTAATACCCGCTTTCAAAATTATAAAATCTAGCATAGACATTCATTTTCTTGATGTTTCTTGCATATTTGAAAATCTACTCGTTGTGGCATATATCCATTCTATTATATAATGCAAACACTTGAATTAGTATGAACCTCACAGTTTTTTTTTTTGTTTTGTTTTGTTTGCTTTTTTTTACAAAATTCCAAAACTACCCTTCATCCTTCTCTTGTAACTGCTTTCTTCTGAACTTGGTTAGTGTTTGATTTTGTAAACGAGAGCAGGTTACCCTCAATTACCCAGATGAGTTTTTAACATCAATATCGGGTAGTTGTACCTTTGGTTATAGGAGTTGTGTGAGTTCTATCACCTTCGGAACCAACCAAGTCAGTCATGGTCCATTTGGAAAGCCAGAAAAGGATGACATAGAGTTCAACTTTCAGATGGGGAAGTACCGGCTGTTCGGAGGATTTCATGGAACTACTACTAGCAATAGGTATCTTGAATCTATTGGGGTATATGTCAAGCCAATCGCATCTTTAAGTGACCTTAACTCTGCTGGAATAGTTCAGACAGCGAGAAAATAGAATTTCATGCCTAGTTGAAGAGGATCAATGTTCTCTCTCTCCGCTTATAAGTAATTCGTCTCTTGTTGATTGTGGTTTGTAGCTTTTTTGTTCCAACTTTCTTCTTTTCTTTCATGGCTTTGTACTTGAACTTTCTGTTGCTTTTCTTGTTGAATTGGAATGCCTTTTATTTTCCCCAAAAAAACTCAATTCATTTCATGTCATGATACTCATTTAAATACTTGATTATCTGATCTTTGAATCAGGATTACTAAAATTCAATAGCTCAAGCTCTTTAAGATGAGGTTTGATTGTCCAAAAGATTTCTTTGTTGTTCAAGTTAGAACATTGCAAAACCATGTCATTAGAAGACATGATCCAGCTATTAGATTAGTGTAAAAAAAAAATCCCAGAAAGTGCAGAGGTGTTTTCTTAAACTTACCTTCCTATTAATCCAATTACAGAAGTTGTGAATATGAAATCAATATGGGACTAGTCACTTGGTTTGTTTTCTAGTAAAATTTTGGAATAAGTTTTTGGATTACATAAATAGTATCACTTGAGCCCCATTAATCTCTATAGTTGGAAACCTTCCAAATCACCACCATGCTCATTACTTATTCAATCCAAACATTTAAAAATATATATTCTACAGTGGTGGTGGTGGGATGGTGAGGGAGGGTGGTGGTGAGGTGGTAGGATGGTGGTGGCGGGATGGTGGAGGTTATGGTAGTGGTGGGGTGTGGCCACACTTTGAAAGTCTAATTCTTCATTGATTTGGTGTCACAATTGTACTATGTTTGCAAGTTTTGTATAAACCATGCAACAATTTGGCACAATGTTCGTAAGTAACAAATGTACTTTGTAAGCTCCGGATCATTTACCTTGAATCGCGTTGAAGTTCAGACCCGACCCACAAAGATCCATGAAAGTTGAACTTTCACAAGCAAAATGAACCATTACAGAGTAATTACCCGAGTCTAAGAAGATCAAACTCGTAACTTTGGCAATGTTATGGCGGTTCTATCTTCTAATCGCCATACCCTTCTAAGAGACTTTTTCTTTTGGACTAACTTTTGAGACGTTTCCACGAGGATATCCAGTTCAGATGGGTTCAGCGTTATTTCGCGAATGAAAGCATTCAAATTAAAACCAATCTCAGTACTTTTAGGGCATGTTTGATTGGAAGGATTAAAGTATGGGATTAGGATTATTAATCCGTGGGCCCAACCATCCTATGTTTGTTTTGACATTTGGTTTAGGACTATTAATCCAATGGATAATTAATCCAACAAATTTGTAGGATAATTAGTAATGGGGTAGGGGTGGGATAGTTAATACCACACTAATTTTATAGGATTATTAATACCTCATTATTAGTATTGTGAATCAAACATGACCTTAGGGTATGTTTGATTGGAAGGATTAGAGCATGGGATTGGGATTATTAATCCGTGGGCCCAATTATCCCATGTTTGTTTTGATAATTTGTTTTAGGATTATTAATCCAATGGATAATTAATCCAACAAATTTGTAGGATTATTAATAATGGGGTAGGGGTGGGATTGTGAATACCACACTAATTTGATAGGATTATTTATACCTCACTATTAGTCTTGTGGAATCAAACAAGCCCTTACATTATTGTAATTAGAGGAAGGCCAACTAATTTTTCTCCCTTGTCATTGACCTATAATATGAGTTCTTCTCCAAGTTCAGAAACCATTTTATACCTTGTAATTAGGGGGTTCCGGTTTGGTTGCGGCTGGGAAACTTTTAATCCGTTATTCATTCGTCGGATGGGCATATTGGAAAAAATCAATCTGTATCCGTCCGCCGAATTAATGGATGCAGATTGAACGGATTGAAGGATTGGCTAATAGATGCGAATCTGTTTAGCCGTTTAATCTTTTACAAATTTTAAATATAATACAACAATTTACCAACATTTTTTTTTTTTGATAACAATCCAACTCAACATAATCAAAAGATTATCAAGTAAATTGTTAAATACCAATAATAAATACATATAAGAAAACCATGTATTGTCAAAACTATTTTATTACTTGTTTTTATTCAAAAATTATTTAATTTGATTTTTTTTTAAAATGAAAAAATTAAATCTTATATTTTTCACACAAAAATACTAAATATCAACTCCTACTATTTGATAAAAAGATTTCCAAATTGAAAGCAAATTAAAAATATAACGGAATATCTAAACTCTTTTTCAATTGAAAATATAAACAGAATATCTAAACAAATTGAAAACACAAAGTCTTATAAATTACTAGAGGTGCTTGTGGTTTGGTTGCGGTCAAAAGAATCTCAAATTCGCCATCTGTCCAAAACTAGGCGGATTGGAAAAAATCAATCTGCAACTGTCCGCTCGTCATCATACATCCGTCCAAAACGTAACGGATTGGTTTGGTTCGGTTAGTTTGGATGGATCAAAATATCTACTACTCACCCTTACTTGTAATATGGTTTCGAAAATAATTTTCCAAGTTTTTTTTTTTTTTGCTATTTTTTTTGGAAAGGAAAACTAATAAGAATAAAATAAAATAAACCAAACTGTTCCCAAATTTGAATTCTTATTTAAATTTGTAAAATTTATGTTTCTTATTGACATTACGAACAAAAATTATAGAGCCATCAATTTAGTGGCTTTGGGTTTGGAACACCTTGTTTGATCACCAAACATCGCCGATCGTTAGCCAGTTGACTTCCGACCTCCCTAGCCACTTCTATTATTTCCGGTGACACTCCAATGCCTATTTCTGACCATCATTTTTGTCGGTCACTTTAATTTTTATCAATACTCAAACCATGTTTATTCATTTGCTTTCAAAACATGTGTACACAAAAATAATTTTCTATTATTCATATAAAAACGCATTTCTAATTTTTTGTAAATACTAAAAAAACAAGAAATTAATTGGTTGGTATGGAGAACCATGCTCATATCTTTACCGTGCAATAATTATCTTGCTTTTACTTTTATTTTTGGCTTTATATATATATATATATATTATATTATCAAAATAAAGATGCTGCATGGATATCACAGCATCCGAGCCTTAATTTCAAGTTAACCATTTAACGACTAAATTTAATTCAATTCAATTCATAAAAGGAGATTGTCCACTGAGACAACCAACCCTTAATTTCAAGTCAACCATTTAATGACTAAATTTAGACTTGACAAGTAGTTTTTTTTAAGTGAAAAATCAAAAATTCATTAAAAAAATTAAAAGCAAATAACTCATACTAAAAAGTCAAAAATTTCTGTTTCTCTCTATTTTTTACACATCTTTTCGTAAAAAGTCAAAAAGTCATCACAAACATATTAATTTTTTTTACATCACATTTTAACCAAAAAATCAAAAATTTCCAAAAAAACTTATTCTCAAACGAGGCTTAAATTTAATTTAGGCCTAGTTTGGGAAGACTAAATAAGTGTACTTTTTGACTTTTTATGAAATATGGATTGGGTTTGGGTTGGGTTTGAAGTGATGTGTTAGAGAGGTGATGTGACTTAAATAAGATGATGTGACTTAAATAGAATAATAACTTTTTGACTTTTTATCTTTTTTCAATCATGCCAAACTTGACCTTAATTGATAAAAAGAGATTCACCACTGATACAACCAATAAAGTTCAGCATTTGCTTTTGGTTTTAAAATAAGCTTTGATGAAGCATCTAGGAAATTTGACCCCACCGGTGACACTTTTTCTCACCCAAAGTCTTTCGTCTCTCTCTCCACTCCCATTATTAGAGACCATCTTCCCTTTCCTCTCCACTTCACCTTCTGCCTTTGACACTCTCTCTCACCTCAGGTACTCTCTCTCTCTCTCTCTCTCTCTTCTAAGTTTCTTTCAGTTCCTAAATGGAATTACACAGAATTTGGGTAAGGAATTGTTTTTATGTATTCATCTCTGTTCCTTTGCCATTGTTTTTCTTTCTTTCTTCATTTTTTTTTAAAAATTATTTCTCTCCCCTCTCTCTCTCTCATAAATTCAGAACCATCATCTCCAATTACGATATTTTATTTATTAGTAAATATTCCCAGTTAATTTGTTCTCATATTCATTTATTTCGATTTGGATTGCATGATTTAGAGAGAAATGAAAATGATTTTTTATGAAAAGACCGGTAGAAAAGTAGAAAGGTAATACGATTAAAAAAATAAAATAAAATAAAAAAAAATTCTTATATAATACACCCCAAACAAACCCTTCCGTCTTAACCACTGTTTGGGTAATGAAAAATTTTCACTTTCCCCTTCAAACTATCACACTTGTGTGACTTGTACCCTCAATTATCAATTTGCATAATTACGCCTAGGGCTACAAACGAGTTGAGCCGAGCTTAATTTTACAATATTCGAGCTTGACTCGACTTATTTACAAGGTGTTCGAGCTCGGCTCAAGCTCGAAACGAGCTACAACATCTTAACTCAAGCTCAACTCGTCTAAAATTCATATAACTCGGGCTCGGCTCGTGATGGCTCGTTAAGCTAAGAGAGAACCATGGAAAATAACAAGCTAACCCTCTACACTTATATAGAAGTTTGTCCACCTTAAAATGCATTTTGCAATCGATGTGGGACTTCCAACAAACACACCAAACAACGTCGTTTGGCACAATATTTTCGTCCTCTCTTTGAGTCCCACATCGCTGGAAGAGGAAGCACCTTTGTGTAATGCTTATAAAACTGGTGAATTGTTGACACTGTCAACGAAAGAAAAGCAAAGGCAAACCTTCAAAGCTTTTATATTAAAATAATAAGCAACATAATTATTGATGGACCAATTAAAATATTTGAATTTGATAAATATAATATAATATATTAATATTTTATTTTATTATAATATAATATATATATATATATATTTCTAAAATATAAAAATAAAAAATTAATATTTATATTTTTGAGCTCGCGAGCTTATTCAAATGGAGCAATATTAAGCTCGAGCTTGGCTCGTTTATTAATCGAGCCGAGTTCGAACGAGCCTTAACGAGCCGAACTCGAGTTTGTTCATGAACAACTTGGTTCATTTGCAGCCCTAATTACGCCCTTAGGCCATGTTTGATTGACAGGATTAGAATATGGGATTGAAATTATTAATCTGTGGACCCAGTAATCTTGTGTTTGTTTTGAAATTTTGTTTCATGTTTATTAATCCAATGGATAATTAATCTAACAAGTTTGTA